TGTCAGTGGTGATTTGTGAAAATGGGTTTCTATTTTTTTTCAGACAAGGCCTACATATAGTATATTATTCAGCTACTAGACATCTGTGAGTGCTGTATAAAGTTATAGACAGGATGTGGTCCCTAGTAAATAAAGGGGACAAATTTGCACAGGAGCTGTGTGGAAGCCTGTTGATCTGTAGTTTGTAATTTTGTGTAATGCACACCTATTTAATGTACACTGATTCTTTATATGGCATCATGATTCCATCGTGAGAGTGGGACAGGGTTTCTCTCTGTGATAGAACTATTCAGAGATGGGGTGCTCATTTTCAGAACACCTATTCACAATTCATGTTAGGCAAACAGAAAGAAACTCATCTGGATTTTCAGTTGGCTTATGAAGCTTTCTGATGCTTAAATGACACAGAAAATTGCCTTCCTTTTGGGCTTGATAGCTGCCTAAGGCCCAAATCCTGAAATCAAATCTGTGTGGGTAAAAGCAGCTGCTCATGCACAGGGGAGCTCCGTAACTTGTCAGTGGGCTTCCATGCAGATGCTAGGGTCCACTCATGCAAGATTGTGGCTTAAAGAGACTCTGTTGTCTAACCTAACGTGTTGTTTACTTTTCAGTGAAAGATAAATGGTCAGTGTCCCCAGCTGGCAAAGATCCCTAAAAGTTTTTTGTGGATGCACAATGGCATTTAATTAAACACTTACCTTTACTGAAACAGAAATGGAATTTACGCATTGACTGTTGGAGTCTCCAAGAAACAAGAATTATCTTTCTCTCTGATTTTAACAATGGATTTACACTTAGCATCCCACAACAGATACTGTTTAACAGTATACTGGATTCTGACTTTCACTGGTTAAAATAGAGGCACTCGCTAATTGTGCTGAATTGCAGTCCATTATTAAATAGGGAACACCTCCATTCTTTATGCTTGTGTACTTGGTCCCCAATTTTTTTTTGGGGGGGGGAATAAAAAGTACTACATTGTAGTTCATTTTCCTGTTTTCTGGGGGATTTTTTCTTTAAGTCAGATATTCTGAAATTACCCTTCAGATATGAAACTTTTTCCTGTTTCTTGCTGTTTATTTGACAAGTCCTCCCAGATCCCACTTTTTAAAAAAAGATAGATCCCATTTTCTAATGAGTAGAATGGGGTCATCTGGTACATATGATTCTAGAAGGGCTGGGATAATTCCAGCTCTCACATCCATTCTATTAAAATTTTTATCTTTATACTGAAATAGTTCTCATTTTACACATACCTTGATAAAAGAAGAAACTTGATTAGGCTTGTTGTTGTTTAGTTCCTTAACTGATTTTGTTCATTTTTTTTCCTGCAGCTTAACGTTGTTTCTCTACATGTGTAATGCTTTTGATGAGCTGACTAAAGTTTTGTATCCAAATTTGGTAGACTTTTATAAGGGTCACTCTCCTTTGTGAATGCACAGCTGCCACCTCCTTCTCAGGGATAGCTTGAAACCAGACTCTTCTCTCTAATTAGCATGACTCTAAACTGGGCCTAGGAGTTCTGCCCAGAGTTGATAAAGATGTTTTTCCTGGTGTGTTTGTGAAGTTCCGAACTAGTTAAACACTGACACCCTGTTCTAAGCCTTAAGCCCCTTCTAACCAAAAAGACCCTCATTCCAAAAAAACTCTTGTCCTAATCAGTTTTGACCCTGAAAAGGGAAAAACTCCATGAAGTCCTACCAGGGACTTCATATAAAATCAATAGCAATAGATGGGCCGCATCCTACAAAGATACTTTCATGTACTTAACTGACTGCTCATGAGCAATTTTTATCAACTTAAATGAGATTACTCATATGCATAAAGTTAGGTACTTGCGGTAGGCCCTGATCCTGCAGACACTTAGTGATTAAATTGCATTTGGGGCATGTTTGTGTGTGTTAAATCCTGACAAACGATAAATCCTGAGCTAATTGGCTGCTTTGCAACTGCAGCCAAGACGTTGCTGGGTTGAAAATGTTTTAATATGATTTAATGCAATATTTTTTTCTTAAGGTGTTCTGCTATAGTTAAAGATGGAATATGTTTTTGAGAGACTAGAACCTCAGAATCTGGGTCTGTACTAACTCATAGTCACTTAGGACTGTATTCTGCTATCTTATCGCATTCAGCAGCATTTAGCATCTCAAGAACTCCCATTTATTTCCCTGTGATTACCCAAGGACTAAAGTGTTACTTAATATATTTCAGGGGTTCAGAAACTATTCCCTTGACCTACATTTACTTCAATGTCCTCACACGCCAAATGGGAGGGGATGGGGAATAACTATGTTCTCCCCTTAGAGGTATAGTGAGGCATAACTCAGGGTTCTTGGAGCACTTTCTGATGCTCAGATGAAAGATGCTGTAGAAAAGCATTGTTATAACATTAGACATGGGCCAAAGACATTTAGGGCCAAATGGATTAAAGATTTCAAGAGGTGCCCTGTTCACTGCGCCCCCAAAATATGTCCACTGGGATTCAAACGTAATTGTGTTCACACAAATGCTTAATCACAAGAATAATTTGCTGGCAACCTCCTATATCTGTGAGAATATTTTATACTTTGTTTAAAAGTTCTCTAAACAGTGTAAGAAGAGTACTTTTCAGGTGCTAAGAAGCACTTGGACTTTGGCCCTAGGTCTCACAAAGCTTTCAAGTTTTGCTATTCTCACAATGTGATACATGTGTTGACATGCATTTTTGCTTACTTAGTGAGCCCCTCTTTTTCCACTGCCAAATGACCAGTGTAAGTGCTGTACAGTGATGAGATCTGCAGCTCATTTTGCAGATAAATGTCTTATAATTGTTCAGAATCTTGTCACCCACAAAGTTTATTGACAATAGTTTGCTTTTATTAATTTTAAAATGAGATTTTTTTGGAATGATCCTTTGAAGTTATATTCTTATTAATTGCTGGGATATTGAAATGTTGATTGTGTCCTTTCAGCACTTAGTCAAGTTAAGGATTTTAAGTATAGCTACACCTTTGTCATACAGAATACACCATGAGGCTGAAATAGGAAGGATAATATATTGGGGTGATACGCCACAGTCCCCTATGATAAGGTTGCTCTCCGTGTTCCACTCAAAGTGCAGATGGTGGGAAAGATTTTTATATTCCATTGCTCACTTTTAAAGTACACTGACCACGTAATTTTATGTGATGTTAAGACCACACAAAAACACATAACCTGGAGACTAAAAGATTAAAGAGGGTGAGCAGGAAGAGTTTAAAGGATGATACCGGTAGCAATAACAATCATGCAACCTGGAAGCCAGTTTGGATTATGTTTGTGTGATGGGCATAGTACAGATACAGATTCTAGAAAATTAAACAAAATAGATTTTTGTAGTCACACAAATAGAAATAATTGCATATTATCAGTGTGACTTTGTCACTGTGGAGTAAGCTTTAACCGAGTAAAAACAGAAAATGCAGTATTTTTTTTTTTTCAAAATTTACTTCTTGTTAATTCCAAATCAAGTAAGTAGACATGAAGGAAAAGTAGGTCATAATCAGAAGATAATGTGGGGGTGGACGGGAAAGTGGTTATGGGTAAAGTTTTGTTAGAATTGCATGTTGTCTCGTGAATCTTAAACTTTTTCATATCAATCTGATTTTTTTTATATATATATATAGTGTAACAGTTTGAGCTGCGTGGCCTTTATAAGCCTTTTGAGGTGGCTATACAGCATAGATGGTAAGTGGAAAAGTAGCTCTGAAATCCAGCTTTAGCTGAGAAAAAAATAGGTTCTTTATTTTAATTTCAGGTACTTTACAGGCAAAATTGAATTATCTTAAAACACTACAAATAATTTATCATGTTAGTTAGGTGCCTTCTTCCCTGTCATGTCATCTGATCTAATGGTTCTTTCTTAATTTATGACAGAAATACTGTGAAATAAGGTAAATGTCAACTATAACGATGCTGTTTGTCATGATGGAAAACAGTGAGCAAGAAATTATGTTTAATGCATCAAAGCAGGAAATTTGAAGTAGGTTATCCCAGCTATAGTCATAAACTATTTTTCAGGGGGGAACAGCGGGGGATGGGGGTTCTTGTTACTAAAAACACAACTTTAAAACATGCACATAACAACTGATTATAGGCAACATGGTTTAGAAGCACATTTCCCCCTTAAATGAAGGGAGCAAATGAACACTTTCTCATTTTTCTAGTTTTTTAGGAATACTAATAACCAATTAACATGGGCCAGAAAAGATAATTATTTCATTCTTCATGCGTAGGGCAACAGAGGTCATGGTATAAAAGCCCTATATATGAGAATCAGCTGCATTTGTCAGTCACCTTTCCCTCGTATGTCTTATTCTGATCCAGATTTCTTTGATTCTGGATTTCATGGTGGCTAAAAGAATCCTGTAGTGATCACTCTAACACCACCATGTTCATAGTCAGTGGGGAGAACATGGGTAATGCTATACTATATTGAAAAGATTTTGGGGAATACAGAAAAGGGCACAGACCTTGGGCTTATGTTTTAAAATACTTGAGTATACACCTCAGGTGTTCTGGTATTAAACCTTAATGCTAACAGGTGAAAACTAGTGGGCTCACATTCTGTCTTGGTTCTGTAGCTTTGCAATTGTGAAAGTCTCCGCTCAAGAAAGGTCAAGGAGCACTCACACAAGTGCATTAGTAAGGGCAGTGTTTAGTGGGTAGGCAGTGGCCTGGAATTAACCCAGGAGAAGTTGGTTCTTTTTCCGGATTTACCACTCCCCTGTTGTGTCACTTTGGGCAAGTTACTCCACTTTGTGTCTTTCCCTTCTTACCCTGTTTCTCTTGTCTATTTAGACTGTGGCAGGGATTGTCCCACTGTGTGTTTTGTACAGTACTTAGCACTGTGACGTTCCAACATTTGGGGCCGCTATGTGCCACTGTAATACTACATGTAATAGTGGTGGGAAAACGTGTACAGCTCCTGCATGTGCTGGCTGATTGTAACCTGTGCTACTAATCTTTCACTTTCATAAGCATCAGATTCTCATGTTTGATTTTATTCTCGAAGAAAATAACACTGTTCCTGATCCCATGCCACCCATCCCAGACAAAAAATAAAATATGTAATTTAGTTTTCATTTTTTAGAATCAGTTAGCCATACGCTGAATGTCTGTTTGTTTTTCTCCCCTGAGTCAATCTGATTACTATGAAAGACAGTGGAAGAGGTAAAGAGTAAGTTCATTCTGGTTCTTGGATGATGATAAATGGTCAAGGCGTGGAGTTTCTGGTTTAATTCCTTCTGACTGGCTTTTCTCTTTTTAAATCTTCACAGTCTCAGCCAGGAGTATAACTGCTCCCCATCTCTCCTCTCAGCAACTATGAGAGAGGCAAAATCAGGTTAGAAGAATCACCATGAAAATGGTTTGCTTCACCTTGACCACTTCCTCTCCCCTTAAACCTCCTCTCCACTCCCATTTTATCCCTTCAGTCATGTGTCACTAAAGGGCCACATCGAGAACTGTTCAGAACAGGATTGCCATGTTCCCTGATCCCACTGTACTGTAACCCTTTATGTTCCTAGAGCCAATTCTTCACTTTCTTCTCCTGGTCCCTTTTACATTTCCCCTCCTTCACTATCTGGTAAACAGGGTCCAATTCACTTGCCCTTCTGCAAATTGCAGTGCCTACACATGCCCTTCACCAATCACTAGTAGGAAGGTTCCTTTTTTCCTTCAATATAAAAGGTCATGGCTCTGTATAAAAGGACCTTAGTTTTTGCCCAACTAGAAGGCAACAACCGTAATCCTGGATCCTCCAGATACAAGGGAAGTGGCCTCTCAGGGCTATTGTTATCAAGAGGCAACAGGGGATGCTGCCTCCTTGTTACCTTGGAGGCAATTAGGCCTACAGATGTGCAAAGATACTTTAGGTGTTGCTCCATTCAGCATTGGAATGCATAACTTAGGAGCCTAAGTTTCTCTGAAAGTCAGTCGGACATAGGCTCCTCGGTCAGGTAAGCATTGAAATGCTGAGCAGTGCAATGACTAAAACACCTTTTAAAAATCCACAGCATAGAGCCAGAGGGGGATGAGTGAACCAAGGGGAAGCAATGGAGGGAAAGGTGAGAGACTTTTGGGAGATGGACCCCAGGGGAAATCTATAGGAGAGGAAGTGAATCTCCAAAAGGTAAGGAAGTGTCGGAGCTGGCTATGCTCCAGAAGGGGGTGGGGGGGGGAGAGAAGGGGGAGTCCAGGTGGTAAGGAAGGATGCAAGGCAAGAGAAGAGTAGGCAGTGGCATGAGCTTTGGTTCTGCCTCACTCATTCACTGGCCAGGGTACCTAGCTGGGCACATAAGAAGTAACAAGCTGCTCCGTGAAAAGCAGTGAGGTAACATACTCAACCCACATCCAGAGCAAGGGGGTGTAAGAATCACCATTCATTCCCTCGTCTGCTCCTGGGGTGTGCCACTTCTTTCTTGAGTCAGATGGCAAACATGATATTTAGCCCTATATTTTGGCAGGTTTCAGAGTAGCAGCCGTGTTAGTCCGTATCCGCAAAAAGAAAAGGAGTACTTGTGGCACCTTAGAGACTAACTTATGCTCAAATAAATTGTTAGTCTCTAAGGTATCACAAGTACTCCTTTTCTTTTTGCCCTATATATTTGCTTTTGTAGCCTGTGTGTCTTATAAAATCTATCACAGGTTCTCTAAAGTATGCAGTGATGAAGGTACACAGGTCCCTGAAAGCAGGTTGTTTACCCTAAATGTCCCCTCTGCCAGCAAAATATACAACTTTCAGTAACATGACTCAGATATTTGTGTTTTTGGGGGGTTTTTTTCTGTAGTTTTTGTTTGTTTGTTTTGTTTAGATCAGGCCAGGGAAATCTCACTGGCACTAGGCTCTGACAGCACTCTCCAGTAGCTCAAAAGTTTATAAGTAAATTGTGTACAAGGATGGTTCAGGCAACATGGGAGATCTGTGACATTGGAGCTTAAAGTGAGGCAAAATAAATCCACTTCAGCAGCAGGCCCTGTTAATTCACTCTGATAATACTGGTTGCTTTAAGGGTTGATTTTACTCCATAATCACTTTCCAGGTTCAGTGAGGCTAAAGGATGAGGCATAAGCTCTCAAGTAAACTCAATAAGAATGTATTAGAAAAAGCAAAATGCTTTGCAATTTTTTTGCTGTGCGTCTCACTTATTTTCAGAGAATACAAGGTAAATGACGCATGGTGATGGTCTCGTGTGTTTACCTTTAGGATAAGGTTTTAGAGGTAATCAGATGTATTCTGAAGGAAATTCAGTAAAACATATAAATACCCATTTTGTGTTCACTTGCATAAACATCAAAGGAATTCTCTATCCATTCGTATGCATTCACACTTCTAGGTTAGTTAGGGACAGGATGACTTGAGAGATTGACCATGGGATATAATACTTAGCATTTCTGATAGCATTTACCATCATCAGTGCATTCTTAAAAATGAACTAATTGGTCCTCATAGTATTCCTTTCAGAAAAGTAAATATTCGCTTTATACAGGTGGGATGACAGAGGCACAGAGACGGTGTTTGTTTTGTTCAGAGCCAAGATGGAGTCAATGTCTGAGGCACTGTTAGAGTGCAGAAACTCCTGCATCCTACTCCTTTGACTATTAATCCAAACTATCTCTCACAATACAGAGCCTGTTGCCTTGGAATCCGTTCTGGACTGAAGTTATAAGTTGAGAAGTTATTTAGTGGTCTCTGAAATCTATTGGCTAGTGAACAAATGTTCCCTTAACTAAAACCCTTCCAGTTGGACCCCTTGTTTGAAGCAATACCAGACAGACCAAAGACTGACTGACGACATGGAAACTAAACTAATCTCACATCTAGCAGTTTCCCCTTTAAGTCAGGATGCAGAGACACAGGCGGAGCAGTGTGCACTTGCGGCATTATATTCTATGGACAGAACTTCATTTCCAGGACTGTCAATCAGAAACCTTTTGCAAGCACTGTAGACATCTTAAAAAAGAAAGGGATGTGAGGGGACTTTCTGGTCAATTGAATGTAAAGCCTGTAAGACTGGAAATGTTCTATGGTGTGCAGATTGATACGCTGTTCAGTTAACAATATTGTGGTAAATTTGTGAGGCTTTTCATATTTGTTTTACTGTCAAAAGTTTGGATGAATAGTCTTCAGTGCAACAGGCTTTGAAGTTATTTGAACTCTTAAAAATCACATATGAACAATGTTTAAATATTGTAGCAATTAAATAATAGTATATTTAAGAGGAATTAATCTCTAGCTCCTGTCACTGAAATGAGGATTCAGTTCTAAATCCTAAATGGGATTTGCGTAGGCAGGATGCTGCACTTGCCTGGAACTCCATTGAAATGTGGCTTTGCAAGTGTCTGCCTATGTCTATCCAATTAAACATTTGTTACCTTTAGTTTGTGAGGCATGTAATGTCGCAAATGTTAAGAGATTGTGGCTTTATCCGTAACATTACTATATTGTGACAAATCCTGTTACAATGTTGGATGAATATGAAAACAAGCCCATTTTCCTGTGTAGACAGGGAAAATTAACAGTAATTCTGTGACTGTTTGTATTTTTGTCAGGTATTTCCATTTAAAAGATTTTCAAGGAGTCCAAAAAGAAGAGGCCTCACTGAAAAATGAAAACAAATTATATTAAAAGTCTAGAAATAGAAGCTAATCTTTAACAATTGTTGGTGGGTCCTTCTTGCAACTCTCCCATGTTCAGATGGCATCAATAACCATTTGGATATGCCTGTTGTGCATGTGTGATTGATAGTTCCCTTTCAGGATTGATCAGATCTTATTAACCCTGCCCCATAATACGAGACTATTGAGCTACTCTTTGATATAAAGGGCAGTACATTCTGAATTTTGGTGCAAAGGAAATATTGTTTTTCATAGCCAGGGGAATGTTGGAATTCATTGCCACAGAAGGTAATTGAATTAAACATTGTCATCTATTTTTTTTTTTAAACAAAACGGTAACTTCATGATGGTTAAGATTTGTAACTATGCAAGCTATGATTAAAAAAAACCCGGCTAACTGAATATCAAGCTGGTGTCTTGTTCAGGTCAGGAAGGAATATGCTCTCCCGCTGAGTATAGCATTGCTCAGTTGGCTCGGTGCATTATGTTTTTGCCTTCCTCTGAAGCATTATATACTGGACGCTGCCAGAGGCTGGATGTAAGAGCAGATGGACTAATCTAGGATGGATAAATCCTATGTTCTAGCTGTGTGCAGTTCATTAACAAACATTATGAAATATAAAATCTACTGCAGAAATAACGTTTAAATTACTCTTCATTTATGCAAATGTTAATGTTTACTATGTAATTCAGAACTTTCATTATAATGTTCCAGTATTCTAATTACCTTCTAACATGAGCCAACAGAGGGTTATAAATGATTTGTTTCAGTGCTATGTTTAGTTCTTCAGTTACTGCAGAAACTGGTAGAGCTCAGAATTAGGCCAATATGAGACCAAACAGTGTGCATGTGATAGACAGTCAGGATCTAATTGACTAAGTATTCTGCATGGTTAGACCCTTGTTCCTGCATGAGGTCCCACTGACTTCAGTGGCTTTTCGTGCAGGCACAAAGATCCAGATGCATGGAGCAACTGACCCGACTAGATCTCCAGATTTTTTTGAAAGGTTACTGCTTGTATATTAAATAAAGCCGAAGCAAGTCACTTGCAGGCTTAGAGGAGAGAGTTGGAAAAAATTGATGGAGTTTGCCTCCAATGTCTTGCCTACATTAGTTTTGACAAAACATTCCTATCTTTGTTCCACCAGCAGTAGTAATAGTTGGGAGCGCTAGAGTAACCAGGCCATTGCTAACTGCCAGGGTATTAACTGTTGTGTGATCTATCTAGATCCTTGCTGAGCAGGACAGGATGACACGGTGGGTTTGTTTTAATGCTGTCATTTGTCTATGCTAGTGCTCCCACCATCGATGGTAGCAATGGAGCTGATGTGGTAGTAGCAACAATGGGAAATATAGAGGCAAAAAGTCTAATGTAGAAACAGTATGCTTCAGCCACACAGATGTATGCCTGGTTCAAAGTCAAGTCAATGGGCGCCGATTGACTTTTTGTTAGGCTTGGATTAGACCCTGACTGAGTCTGAACTGAAGCAAATTAATAGCATTGCAATGAGCAATTTTCACGTTACTGCAGCAGCATCCATAAAATAATGCGATTACATCTATTTAAACAATTTGTACTTAAAATCTAGACAAAATTTCATGGTCACAGGATGAGTCTCCTACTTCAAAATGAACTTAAAACTTACTTTCTATAAATGCTTGGTGTATGTACATTACGTATCCTCTGACAAATATATTTTATAGGAAACAGTCCTCCAGTACAATATAGTTCAATCTACATATGTAGGTGATAGTGTTTCTTAGTTCAGAAAGGTTTAGCCCTGATTCTTATGCTTTATAGGAATGCATTTTAATTCAATAATGGTTTTTTATAATTCACTAAAGCTTGTTCAAAAGCTAATTCGAATAAACTCAACCCATGATTTTCTCCTCCCAAATTATCAGGAAGTATGCCGTGTGACTTTCTCACATCAGCATTCAAAAATTAACTTTATTACTCTCTTATTACAAGTTTATAAAATGAGTCATACTGCCAAGAATCTAATGAGTCGTTGATCTACAAGCTATGCCTCCTGCCTTACTAAATCGGGACCACAACCTTGAATGGAAGTTGCCCTTAGTGTGGTTAATGTAGGATAGATTTACTAGATGTTTAAGCAATGAGTGAGGACAGCTGACTTCTAGATAAGGCACAAGAATTCTTAACGTTACCTAAAGTACACATTAAAATGAATTTTTCAAAGATTTTCATTACATTTCGTACTCTGCCTACTGTGCACAGTACATAATTAAAGAGTACTGCTCTTATATGTACCCCCTCTGAAGCAAATTAACATTTCTTATGAACTTTGTTCTTTTGTGGGGAAGTAATAATGAGGAAAGTAGTTTCTAAAGTCTCTCTGATTTATTACGAGTTAAGTCAATGCCCAATACATTCGTTTATGCTGTGTGTCAACTGCCATATACAATAAAAACCTTTTTTGTTATTGTTGACAAAGCAAGTCTATCTAATGTGTTCTGTCCTGGGCTTGGAGTGCCCGTAACATACAAATGGTATTCTGTGAGATAGTTTGCTCACTCTTGAGGAGTAACTTCTTCCTCTTTCATTTCCATACTTTCTACTTGCATTTGAATCTCAAAATTTCAACTGACTTATGACTGCCATACTCTAAGGACCCTGTTCAAAGCCCATTTAAGTTGATGGAACAAATGCCATTGACTTCAATACACTTTGGATCTGCCCTAAATCTTCTGAACATCACCATCTGTGGAAGTATGGATCTAAGCAAAGCTACAGTTGCTTGCATATTTTAAATGATCTCACTCCTTAGCAGATGCACTAACGCTTTGATTTTTTTGTCAAGGACTTATTTTTATTTCCTGTGCTAAATCCTTGATTACTTTCTATAAGTAAGCCTATGGGGTGCAGGGAAGGTGAGCTCATAATTTAAAGTAATAACTATTCTCTATTAGAGAACTGAACAAGTCACACATGGAGTAAATCTGGTGATCTTCAGCTAGCTTCTGCCAAAAATATCAATCTGTTATAAAAGTCTCTGCTAAGAAGAGGTCTAGAAATGACACAGAAGGGGTGTTCATAGAGCAATGCTGTGCGTGGGAGTGAAGCTTACACACAGGTTCCTCATTGTGTACTATAAATTGCTTATGCTGAACATAAAATTTATCCTCTTGGATCAGAACAATTCTCCATCTAGTCCACAGGAGCCAATAAGCACGATTCAAAGGAAAGTGCAAGAAACCCTGAAGTGGGCATGTGGGGAATAATATGCCCACAAGAGAAGTTTTGATCTCTCTGTGCCATTGTTTTCCAACAGTGAAATGGGGATAATATACATACTGACCTCAAAGGGTGGATGAGGATTAAACAGTTAAGAATTTTACAATGCTTTGAGAATGAAAAGTGCTACATAAGTGCAAGCTTCCCATGGCTTTTACATTGGCCCTGCCGTGCGGGGAGGGCAATTCACTTTTAAAGTAATTGTGAGTATTCAATCAAAATTGTAGATAATTAAAATAATATAAATAGCTTTCTAGGTCTTTTTATTATTATTATTATTCCTCTGCGACCAGGTGACCCTGATTTTCTTTCTTTCTTTCTTTCCCCTCCCTCCCCTTCAAGCAATGTCCCTGACTCAGTTGTCAAAGACTGGAAAAGCAGGCGTGTCCATCTAGCTTTGAACTTGATACCTGCGGTAGAGTTACAAGGTTAAACAAATGGGGTGGATATTTTTTTTTTCTTTTAAAGGCTGAACATTGCACTTCACAAAAGGTCTTTCCCCCTCCCCTGGTGCATTTTTAGGCTGCATGCGCTCCTGCCTGTCTTCCACTCGGTCCCGGCTGAAGATTTCAAGGAAGATGAGAGCTCTATTTTGCTTCTCCCTTGTATTGCAGATAGGGGGAGGAGGTGGTTATTAGAGAGGAGCCCCCCCCCCGCTTTTTCTCCCTCTCTCTAGCTGATAACACTATTTCTCGCTCGCTCTCCTCCTCCCAGGTGATCCATTTCTAGGCAACGTGCTGGCTGGTGCTGGAGCTGCCAGCTCTCTCTGCATCCCACCAGCAAAGCGAGCTCTAAAGCATCCTGCGGACCATCAGCGGCTTCCCTCTGCTTTGCTCCAGGCACTGCTTCTCTGTCTCCTGCCCTGTCCAACCACTACCTTGCGCGACAGACACAGCACGCTGGGCTTGATTTGCAGATTTCTCCACCAGTTGTGGGAAGCAATTTTTAAGCAGGGGGTGGGGGAAAATCTCTGCATTACTATCTGCATTACCTTGAAGTTCACTTTGTTTTTTGGCCTGGGGGGGCTTTTCCTGCAGGAATCTGGCTTCTAGAACCGGGATTTCCTCTTTACTTGATTCCCCGCTCCTCCTCCTCCTTCCTCACTGAAGGCGAGTTATTTGCTGCGGGCTCCCGGGGTTTGGGGCTCCCGGGCCAAGAGGGTTTTGTGTGTGTGTGTGTGTGTGTATGTGTGTGCGCGCGCGGTGTGTGTGTGTGTGGTGGGTTGGAAGTTGTTGTGCAGGAGCCGGGACTGAGCGGATCCCTGGACCCTGCGGAAGGATGGAGACGGTCTGACGAAGAGAGGCGACTGCTGCCCAGAGAAGCAACCGGGCTGGATGGATTCGCTGCCCGAACTAACAGCAGCTGTGGTCGTGATGCCCAGAAGCCCCCCGAAGTAACGCGGGGCTCTCGCAAAGGAGACGGGCGCCCCAAACCCTGGGCTCTCCCCCCCTCAGAAGCTGTACAGAGGCAATCGGGATTTAAACACTGTTTCGGCATCTCCAACTCCTGGGCTTGCTGCGCTGTCCTTCATTATCCTCCTTGTAAAAAGAGATCTGCTGCTCTTTCTTTAAAGACAACAACAAAAACCTTAAGCCCCAGGAGGACATGGAAGTTTTCTCTCTCATTTTGGTTGTGGTCGTCTGTTGGACTCGAACCTGGGAACCGGCGATTGCAGATTCAATCATACATATAGGTAAGGGGGATGCTGCATTTGCCGGTTACTTTTTTCGAGCTCTCCTTTGCAACCTTCTCTCTCCCATTCTTGCTGTCTTTGCAGTCTCTCGTCCTTCTTGCCATCTTCTGTCCTTCTCTCCTTTTTTACCCTCCCTGTCATTGCTTCCCATAAAGATCTTTGCTCTTCTTCTCCCCCCCCCACCCTTTTTGTTTGTTTCTTTACAGTTGCTCTTTATAAATGGTTCTTGATGGATGAAGTGTGTATTTAAACCTTGAGTTTCGTATCTAGTGGCTTGGAGGGGAGGTTTTTTTGGGGGGGTGGAGGAAAGGAGGGGTAGCGGGAGAGTTCACACCCCCACCTTGTATTTGCCCTTAGCACGAATCCTCCCCCCCCCCACACACACACCTTTCCCCGCGACTCACTAATTTGCCCTATCTGGGAACCCCAAAGTATCCCCCCGATGGAGTCTAATAACCCCAGCCACCCCCGCGGCTCCTCGGCGGAACAGGTGGTTTGGCAACGTGAGCTGCTGGGTTTCGCAAAGCAGCTCGCTCTCTGTGTGTGCGCAAGGGGAAGATGTTCCGTTGAGCCCCACCGCTCACCCTTGCTTCCCTCCAGTGTAAGCGGCGCCGCTGCTAGCCCGGCTGCAGGAGGCGCCGCAGCAGCTGCAAGCCGGGGCCGCCGAAGCCCTCTCCGGGAAGGATTCGGAGCCAGCTCCTGTGCAGACGGGGGCGCGGGGTCCAGACGCACCTCCCTCTGCTCCGTCTCCGATCCTGGGGCGGGGGGGGGGGGGGTGCGTGGCGGGGCGTAATTCGAACTCTTTCCCCCGGGCCCGGTCCGGCCCGGTTTTCACGGAGAGGGCAGCAGAGGCGGGTGGGGGGCGTTCCCTCGGCCAGCGCTGTGGCGGAGTTATGGGGGGTGGGGGGAATTAAGGGTGCTGCTGCTGCCCTGGAAGGGGCTAAGGAGCTGCTTGTGGCCCCACCTATTGGCAGCATGATGGCCACACGGGGAGTCCGAGAGCTGGAGGGAGGAAGGCGCTGTGTGTGTGTGTGTGTGTCTGTGATTATTATTCACAGCGCTGTCCGCAGCCAGCTCAAGCTGTAACCCACATTTCTCTCCAGAGAGAGGGGCATAGGGGACGAGAGACAGCTGGATCCCCCTCCATGTGACAGCCCGGCCTGCCAGGGAACAGCCTCCCAGCCTCTCCTCTGCGCGCACGCCCCTGAGGCATAGGTGCCTGTGGTTAAAGGGCATTGTATCCTCCCCGCCAGGGGCCAGCTCGCACTCCCCGGCCTTCCCCGGGGGGCAGGATGTTTGCCTGGAGGGAAGATCTCTCACCCGCCTATCGCTGAGTGATCAGCAAGCCAAACAGGCAGGCGGAACAAGAGCATACAAATGTGGATGCCCGCCTTCAAGGCGGGCAATAAAATAAGAAGCCCAATCCCCCTGCTGGGGTTGGGGGCGGGTGCTTGTTCTCAGGTGTGTGCCGTGCGGGAGCCTCGGTGCCCGTTCACGGGTATGGAAATACAGCTAGAGCTCTGCCTCTGATCCCTTCTTGGCTTCCAGTGCCAGGCCCCTTAGATCCAGGGCGCTCGTCCGCTCTCTGAGGTTGCCTTTGTAAACATGCCTGTCTGTGCAGCAGTGTGTATAGCAGTGAAAATTAAGATCCGAATTTAGGATTCCATTCTTGCACTTACCGCTTTAAAAGCGACACAGCGTAGGGGCAGCTGTCCAACCCTTCATTTAAGATCGCCAGGCGCCCAGCGGCTATCAATTCCCAGGGGCACAGAACTTTACAGGGGTCAAGCCAAATAGCTAGCCTTGACTGGAACCTCCAGTATTCTACCGAGGCAGAGCAATATGCCCTCCTTTTAAAGAGAGAATGGCTTGTTAATTTCTTTGCAAGTTATAAACTGTTAGTCCCTGAGCCTAGTGCTTTTGTTTTTAGGGGCTTATCACTCACTGACAACATCTTAGGGTTTGTCAAGGTGACATCTTTACCGTGTAACAATCATCTACCTGATGAGGGAAAAGTGAATGCACTCTATCCAGTCCTTTTTGTTAAATGATCAGTTGCATGTACTGTAGCTGTTTGGTATAGTACCGAAAGAGAAAATATCTCCTTTCTTCTCTCTGCACCGGTAATTGTTTTCTATTTGTTATCGTTTAAACTTATTTATTTTATCTGGCATATACAACACAAGTATTTACTGCTTCCCTCTTTCTTTAAAGTGCCATTGGTTGGTAGATGCATCAACACAGTAAATCCTCTGGGTGGAGGGGGCGGGGGAACCAAAGTGGTTGCTTCTCACACAATTAATTTGACTTGAAAGACAATTAGTACATTTGACAAGGGGATTAGCTCTTTTTATAGACTGTTTTATGTTGCCATGATACTGGCAAATTTATAATGGTTACACATAGCTCTAAATCGTTTATAATTTAAAATTGAAAATAAATGACCTGTAATTACCAATACTTTAATGTCTAATAGGTCATCAACTAAAACAGGCAATCCTGTAGAACTCAGAGGTGAAAACCATAGTAATACCCAAAATGACCCTTAAATTTTCTGTGTTAGGTTTTGTGAAACCCTAATTTGATTTTTTCCATGTATAGGTAATATTAAGTTACATATAATGTATTTAAGCAAGAATAATGAAAAGCCATTGTCAATTTGAGATGGCATGTGTTTTGGTTTTAATATTTTAAATAACAATAAAGGATGGGGGAGAGAATCAATCAACAAATTATTCTAATACTTGTGGATGGGATTTTCAAAGCCAAAGAAGAGAAGGAAATGTTTACATTCTGGAGTAAAAGTAACACAAAGATGTAATACAGATGCCCTCAGACATTGAGCAGAATAAGCTACTTTCATAATTCTACAATGTTAACATGTTCAAGTGGAAAATATTTCTAATATAGAGAGCCCATGTACAGGGGAGGTTGGGGGAGGAGGGTGAATCTTGAAAAGAAATAGAACTAAAACACTAACCCTTTGTACATGTATTCCTTTATGACTGTATAGACTCCTCATTATAGTGCGCTAATGGCCTCACTTGACTTCATGTTGAGTATTTGATATATTTACCATAAAAGGTTGTATTTCTGAATGTGTAACTATCCTCCCAGACAGCTCAGCAGACTACCACAACACAAATGGGTACCTAGAATTAGCAAGCTGTGATTAATAAATTGGGGGTGGTGTGGGCAGTTTTTTGCATTATGGAATACGGATTCATTTTTCTCTTCCAAACTAACACCCTTCTTAATTATTCTAGTTGTATTGTACGATTATTTTCAGGGAAAAATCACTCTAGTTTCCAAAATATGTTCCTCTGAATATTGATAGGGCTGTCCATAGTTAATGTTTCTGCTGGTTAAGTATTATAAAGAGGAGATGGCGGTTCAGAAAGACTGCATTAAGCATGCTTGTGAAAATGTTGAAATGGATCACCTCTACTGAAATTATCCTTACCCCTACATAAAAGGAGGGGGATATGACATGTCAAAATTATGCAGTTCTGTGTTATGTTGCTTCTCTGAGCCTATGCATTGATTAATTTCATCAGACTCACATTACTTGATTGCTTAGAAGTTTCTAATGATCTGTATGCTGTAGGAAGAACTCGAAAGCCGTGAGCAGAATGGCGATGATACTGTGTTTTATGAGGCTATTAAAAAGTGGCTCTGATTTATGTAGCTCGAAAGCTCCAAAGTCTTTGAGATTAGCCACGCTGCCTGCTATTTTCTTCATACATCAGTCGTCCCACACTCTTTACTCCCTAAATACAACAGGAGTTTAGAACGGTGCCTTTAATTAAGCAGGGATTAGGTGGCATTTCTAGTCTTCTGCAAGATTTGTGTACGGTTCATATCTTCTGCCAAGCGTCTTATATTTTGTAATAAGTGCTCACTCCTTTATCTTGGTGTATGTGCACAGTAATATCTCTGTATGTACATGTGTTTATATAATGTATAAATACACAAACACATGCCTGAATCAGATGAAGCAAAGCCCTCTAGGTCAGGTAGCAAATAAAATCTTTATCGTACAAGAGCGCAGGTGTAAAATGTCATTACAATCACTTTAAAGAATAGTGCAGTGCAACTATAGCACTATGTTAACCAGTAAGATTGAAGTATGCAAATGAACTCAAGGTTACTATATATGGTATCTCTCTCAATAATACCAATAATATCCAATAGCATGCTGCTCCTAACTTTTTCCATATCAAGCGGAAAGTTCAAAACACTAATTTGTGTCTTGCAGTTTTTTTTTTAAATAACAGAATTTTATAAAAACAATAATGCACCAAAGCTTTTAGACTGCAAGCTCTTTGCAGCAGGGACTGTCATGTGTTATATGGTAGTCAAGTGCACAGTGGGGTCCCAACCTTGTTGAGGCATGTAGACACGAATGCAATATAAATTTTTAACAATAGAGGGACAACTTGTATATTCAGTGGAGGCATGTCTTTTCTGTTAAGATTTTATGACATCCTTCAAATACCCCTCTCAAACCCTCCTCCCTCCCCCCAAAAAAAATTATGTGGGAAAAGTGAAAAAACTAGAATGGAAGTTTACACAGCCGCATCTCAGGATTTGCTTAATAGAAAGTCTGTGTGGTAGCACCACAAGGAACTTGTATACTATGGAGATCTGTGCCAGCATAAGAATCTGATCAGCCCCCTTGATGGGTGTGCCTTTAGCTTTGTAAGTAAAGTTTTGCGCAAATCTCCTTCGTATAGAACTTGTTTTATATACTTCATAATAAGCTGAGACATTTCTCACTGATACAGTATATCAACATAAGCCCTAGCATTTTGCATACAAACCTTTACTTTTTATTGCTTTCTATGCCCATGTTTCTGCACCTATGTAGTAACTGTTAAATAGATACCGTGACTGATCTTGTGATTAATACAGCCCTTGATAATGATGTATTGTACATTAATAACTAATTAATATTGTAGTCCCAAGAGTATTTCATATTTGTGAAAATGTTTTCTATGGTACAGGAAATAAACAAGCACCTGATGATATGAAAAAATGAGTATTTCAGTAGATCAAAAAAGTCTTCCGTTTTCTGTTCTACACTTCACTATAATTTGCCAGGGTAGCTCTTTTTAACAATGCTATGAAGTCATGAAGTACATAGCATAGCATATGTTTAGCAGATAGTAGGTTTTAAAAATATCTGTGAATCTCCTAAATATATTTATTTAATGTCTTTATATGCATTATAGTTGAAATTCTCTTCTAAGAGCTTAGCACTGTTGCGCCCTTTTGGGTCCCTATAATGTATTTTTAATGCTAATTACACTATTCCTAAAAGGGAAAAACTTCTGTGGCATAGTTTATGGCTTGTTGTTGTCGTCTTCTAAGGAAATATTTGCCATTAGGTGTCCCTGCTTTCTGAAGTGTGTTTCTTTGCAGTAACGTAGGGCCTGATCCAAAGCCTACTGAAATCACAGGAGTCTGTACTTTGACTCCAGTAGGCTTTGGATCAGGCCCATAGCTGAAGGAGTATGATTTACTCAAAAAACTTAAGTGACTGCTTTTAGTGTCTTTGTGGCTGCTTAAATTGCTTCAGGGTTTTCATACTGTATACAGCTAAACAAACAAGCATCCTATTTCAAATGGCTTTTTAACAAATGTCTAACATGTCAATTGTTGATACTATGTATGCGTGCTTTCAAATGACTAGTTATAGATGTAGAGTCTTTATTCTCATAGTACTATCTCTGAAAATACCGTGGGGGAGGGGAGAGGGAAAGCTCTTATGACTGTAAATATACCAATTAAGTTTCCTTTAACTTAATGAACAAAGGTTCTCTTCCCCTCCCTCACCTCATAAAGCATGTGGTATTGGCAAGAGGTGACTTTTTTTAAGCTATTAGTTTACTCCCCAGAAAAAGGATTGAATTTACATTATCTGCTGTGACAGCTTATAGAATTTATTGGGAAGCTTTTAAAAATGTGTTTACTAGTTAGTCTTTTCCAGCTGTTTGTACTGTTGATCGTTCTGTTCAGTTGTTTCACCTTATTGTAGCAAATTACATTTTTTTTAACAGTGGCATTGACAAAATAATATGTTTTAAGACAGACAAAATTTACCTTGCTATGGGTTATAATGGTTTCTGGTTTTATGATAAAATTTGTCAAAACACAACTTACCCTAAAATATTAAATACGAAAAGACCAGATGTGTTATATTTTCGGTGTTGCAAATTGAGGGCAGGGGCAATGTCTGAAACATTCCCGATGGATTTTGGGCTATAGACTTGTTATGTTAAATAGAAACAGTTTTTTGGTTTTTTTTATTGGTAAAACCAGTCTAAAACCAGAAAATTCATTTACATCATGCTAATAAGATCTACAGATTAACTAGTATTGATATATGGAAAGTGTTAATATGCCAAATGCTATCAGGCCATGTAATGCAAGAGTTCAATAAAGTTAGTTACCTTGTGCCCTTGAAAACATAGGATGTCTTTTTTTTTTTTTTTAAACCCGTTGAAGTTTTGGACAGTAGAAGGAGCTGATGGTCATCTGAGCTAGTGAAACTGGCAGGATGCTTTCAAAGTCCATATGCACTTCAAGGAATATCCTCCTATCGGATTCTTGCATGTTGACATCCTGATCTCCCTATTGTGTTGCATCTTGGTCCTCAAGGTCCTATCTCCACCCCCCATATAAAGTCCATCAACAGCTAGGAAAGCAACCCTTGCAGGCCACAGTTACTAAAAAATGGCTCTTGATAGTCTTCGCTAACGCTGCCTATGACTTGGCTGCTAACGTAGAGTGGTTCAAGCTGTTACTGACCAGT